GTTCATTTATGTTTGATACAGGAAGACGTTTGTACAATCACAACTATATTTATATCTTTACGAACAGTAATAACCATGATATCTAAAACTAATCTTCAATGCTTTATTTATCTCTGATCACCCTAAGCTGAAGCTCGATATTTCAGCCACGCTTTGAGCAAAACACATATACACTGAGATACTTAAAGATAAGATAACAAGTACTTTATTAATCCCAATTTGGGAAATGTTTGCGGACTTGGGCTGTCCGCTGTTTTACTTATTTTAATCCTAACCATCATTTTTCGAATAAACCAAATCTATCCTATTTTTAGGGGACAGTAATGCTTATTTATCATACTGATATTACAAAGTGGTATCGATCTTCTCATCAAACTCTCAGCAAGAAAGCACACACGTGTTTTCAAAGTTTTGGGCTATCGAAGGTTAGGTTTACAATTTTTCAGTGGCCAATAGGAGTGTTTAAAAAAAGTTTTGGTTGCTATAATCGTTCAATTTATTTGTCTATGACATTATCTGACAAGTATCTTCGACCACAATGTCCCCTTCCTTCTGCCTCAGGGATTCCTGATGGAGGATAAACTCCTGAAGCTGCTGATACCCCTGGGGAAGGAGGAGCAGACCGTGGTGAAGCTGGGCTCTCTCCTCTCTGTGAGTTCATCTGATGTCATGAATCTGTTGGACTGTACGGAGCAAATTACTGATCAAAAGACATGTTATTTCTCTTCTAGTATATTGGCATTGAAGAGGAGGATATTCCCAAGTTGGCTGCTTTCTTATTAAAGTACAGACATCAGCAGAGGGAGCAGACTGAGGTGAGGAGGGGCAGGGATGAAGAGTTTAGTGGATGGATGCTCTTGAATGAGGATTGTAATTAGACCATTTCTGTATATACTGACGATTCTTCTCTGCCTGCAGGATGTTTGTGATGGGTCGGGGGAATCTAATAACAAGGCAGAGGAAGAGGAGACCGAGCCTACGACTCATCTGACCTCTGACCTCGATCCGTATGACGTTGTACCTGCTCTAAAAAGTTTCCTCCGGCAGCACATGAGGTCCAGGTAAGAACACATTTACACTCATTTAACCCTTGTTGCTCAGTTTCAAAAGGTTTCTCTGAAGGAATGAATGAAATGATTACTTCATTTTAGGAATTATTACCATTTTAAATGCAGATTAGTTTGTAGAACAGCACACAGAAATGTAACTAATTTCTGCATACCAATCTATGGGGAATTTTGAGTATGAAGTTAGGGGATATGTCAATGATAAGGAACATTATTTTTGATGCATACAAAAAGTATAACATTTAAAACAAATATTAACAATACAAAAAAATTCCTAAAACTGCTAGAATTTTTTTTGTAATATTATAGTTTTAAATTACCTTCAATATTTCAACATTTTACCCATTTAAATGTATGTTCACATAATGCCACTTGTTTGCCAATGTAACTCAATACGAGGTCACACAGTCATGGTTACAGTAAGACAGGAGAAGGTGTTTAATCACATCATAAAAAAGCCAAAACATGGGTTGAACCAGTAATAGGACTTTCTGTCAGATATACACATGAGATGATGAGCTACATCAGTCTTCCTCAGTGAATATGTGAAGTGTTCCTGTGCGGTCCTAGGGAGAGCTCGTCCCGTCAGCATCACAGTGTTTATGAAGCGGCGCGGGATTCTTCAGAGGACGAAGCCTACTGGCAGAGTATGGGAAGTGTAATCTGTGAGGATCAACTGAGACTCTGGGACACAGCGGAGAACAAACTGAGGCAGTACCAGTGAGTAACAACCTCTCTCACACACACGCACACGCACACTCACTAACTTGTTGTTTCTGTGTTTGCAGGGCGGTGCTGGCGGAGATCTCGGCGCTCGTCCCTGAGACTGAGAGTCTGCAGCAGCAGAACAGAGAGCTGAGGATGTTGCTGCAGCAGACTCTCAAAGTAATGTTTTTGTCTATCACACTTTTATTACCCAGATATTCAATTAGAGTTATTATTGAGGTACTTCCATGTCATTTCTTTTGACAGGAAATGTACACTTTTAATATGAATTTGTTTTATATTTTGAAACTAAAATGTAGATGTTCTGCTTTTCTTTCACAAATGAGTAGAGAATGACATGTCTTTTATTCTCTGATAGGTCAGCACTGATCTGGAGATGTAATCCAAACTCAAATTGGACTCTGTAAAATAAAGCCTCTATTAAAATCACGTTGTGTTTGCAGTTTTTATTTGTTATGCTCTGCTAGATACAAAAAAACAAGTAACTGCTACATAGGCAGTCACACAGAAGTTCATGTGGGACACAAGGAGTAAACAGAATGGTACATTACAGCCGTTTATCCAGCGCTGTTGAAGAGCTTGTGGCTGAGCTCTGAGGGGACGGAGAAGAGGAGGAGGGCGAGGAAGGAGGAGCCCCAGCAGGGCGGCCAGCAGCAGCAGGCAGGGCAGCCTGTAGAGCCTCCAGACCAGCAGACAGAGGGTCCTCAGGGGGGACAGCAGCCAGGACAGGCTGCTGCTGGGACGACTGCACAGACACACTCCATCAATACACACGTATCATTCATTATGTCGATGCAAAGACAGCTGAGGAAATGCCACTTAGAGGAAGAAGGGAAGATTGATGCAGGGGTAGAAGTATCAAATCATAATTACTGTTGTTACTGTATACAAACAACTTTTACTGAAGTATTTGCTTTAATACGTTTTTTTTTTACTTGTCAACGCTGTGAGAGACTATAAAGAGATATACATATATTTCAGTTAATTCTTTGTCATACTAATTTACGGAAGAGGATTAGGGCCACATAAAAAAAAATTTTGTGAGGATTTGAAAAAAAAATTTTTTTTTTTTGTTCTGAGAAAAAAGTCAGAATTCTGACTTTTTTCTCAAAACAAAAAAAATTATTTTTTTTGGGAGAAAAAAGTCAGAATTCTGACTTTAATCTCAGAATTCTGATTTTTTTCTCAGAAATACCGGTAACTGTAGAACCAGCTTCACTGCGATTTACACATTGCAGTAGGCAACAATGGAGGACGTGAGTGCATTCTGCGCGCCAGAGGGGGTCCAAGAGGAAACCATAATAAGTCATTTTACAACCATCTGCAATGTGTAAATCGCAGTGAAGCTGGTTTCTACAGGTTACCGGTATTTCTGACTTTTTTCTCCCAAAATAAAATGTTTTTTTTTTGTTCTGAGAGAAAAAGTCAGAATTATGAGATTAAAAGTCAGAATTCTGACTTTTTTCTCAGAACAAACTTTTTTTTTTTTTAAATCCTCACAAATTTTTTTTTGATGTGGCCCTAATCCTCTTCCGTACTAATTAGATGTAAAATGCAATTGTATTTATTCATTTTGAATAACTAACCAAAAAGGTAAAAATAAAAACTTTTAATATTTTCTATGACTTAGTATATTATATATTTTTTATATTTTTAAAGCATACTGTAATATATTTTCTTTAATGATATTTTTGGAAATACTATACTATTAGCATTTAAAATAAATGTGTATGTCATACTCTACTATGAGTTTTCTTCTCTTAATTTGACTTTTGTTATCCATATAAAAACATTTAAATAGCTGCTTAAACAACTGCAAACACGTTCATTGAATTCGGTTTATTTCAAATTGCCGAGAGACAAACATTGCACACACTTCCACACATATAAACAGTAATTGATTGTAAAAAACAGGCAAGTGTAGTGCAAACAGTAACTCTGTAATTGGTGAAACACAGAATTACAAACAGACGGCAACACAAGTCAGGTCAGGCACAGGCAAAATTGGAAGAAGAGGCAACGCACACTGGCACACAACGCCATTTGATATGGAGCGGGGAGTTTAGAGAATCAACACCGGACCCGGACCCCCCGCTCCACTCAAGTGCACTTTAACAATGTCCCCGTGAAATCATCTCTACATTATATACCTGTAATGTGGAAGAGAGCAGGGTTGTGATCTGGAGAGACAGTCATGCCAACACACACGACCTCTGCGGCCACTTATCACAATGACGCATGCATATCGACATATAGGTCTACATTTTGTAGAAAACAGTAAGGACCTTGAAGTGTTTGTTGCATTTGACCAGATTAAGGTCAAAAGATATTCGCAAATTATTCATTTGTATTCTCTTTTGATAATTATTTGCAAACACTGTTTGATTCAAGCCTGGCGTTTGCTGATTGGCTTCAAGAGATTTAACATTTTAACATTGCATCTGAACTAAAACCCCTGTACAATTATTAATTATTGTATTAATTTTGAAGTCATATTGTTCTAGGTCTCATTGATTTCATTAGGAAAATATACATCTATTTGTGTTTCTTCATTATTATTCTTGAAGTGTGCAAAAACTGCAAGAGCTATAGTAGTTAAAAAAAGAAGGTAACTCTTAGCTCTAATCCATCCGACTCAATAAACATTGAATAATGTAGTTAAAAGCATCTATAAGTGATCATTTATGTGTTTGTATACAACTATAACTCATATGGGCACTCATTAGTGAAAGCTGGTGTAGAAACAGATAATGAAGGATATTATAGTAAGAGAAAGGTGTACAAATATAAAGAAATCCTCATAGAAGACAGTTATAATTGTTGACAATATTGTAATAATCACTTACAAATGTCTTCAATTCTGCTTACAACTACATATTATAGTGTGTTCTACATTAAATAATTAGATGACATATTCATATAGTGCTTATAAATTCTCAAGAAGTAGGGTTAGAGCAAAGTGTTACAAAAAGTTTCATTTTTGACGTAAATCAACAGCAGTTGATCGTAGCAGTAAAGTGAGATCTCACAGCATCACTTGAAAAGGATTGTCCATGCAATCGTCTGACCACTACCCATCACTCAGATTTAATTTAATTTTAATGAATAAATAAATAAATAAAGGTTGTATGAAAAAGATAAATAAACATTCGCTGTCATGTAACATTGCCTGAAATAATATCACGGGTTACACAAGCAAATGATTGCTTTCTAGTCAGTTCAAGGATGGAGTCCAGATATAGATGTGTTGAGGCTTGCTGCAGTTTTGATGAAGCATTAGACAGTTTTTTCTCATGATTGCGGGGAAAGAGTCATTTCGGTGGTTTCTGCCAGAGCGAAAGTGGGAGGTGGCGAGCTGAATCACAACGGAGCAGAGAGCAGGAAAACATGACTTGTGATAAGCGCTCTGCGACTCCTTGTTCTCTCCTTCTGGTTCTCCATCCGCCCTCTGCGTCTCCCCATCTCTCCGTCCATGTATCCAGCCGGCCACCTCCCCCGTCCCCCCAGCAGCCCCTCAGGCCCCCAGCAGCTTCTTGACCAGGTAGCCCGGCATGCTGTAGAGGAAGAGGCCCAGCATGATGAGCAGCAAGCAGGGCCAGCACCATCTTGATGATCAGCCACTTGTAGCGGTTGCACACCAGGTAGCGGATGGCTTTCAGCGGGCTCAGGAACACAGGAAGGTGGTGTCTGGGCGACTAGAGGGAGGGGGCGGAGGGGTTTATGGTTAATGAAGAAGGAAAGGCATGCAGGTGGTGGAAAGAAGGAGTTAATGAAGGTGAGTGATGGCGGATGGAGAAAGGGGAGACAAATGGGATGAAGTATGGGAGAGAGGAAATGATGGCGTTAGTTGGTAATAAGCTGCGTTACATTTATGAGTTATTTCACAGCATGCGCACATTTCTATCAATAATGTGTCAGAGGATCACATTCGCAGAGTAAAAGCTATACAATAAAAACAAACACAATGAAGATGTTGATTATGGATGGATGATTGACCAATAACTACAAAACACTGTTGTTTGTTTCTTTAACCAGTTGAGCCCGAGCCTGTTTTTCAGGCCTCTGGCTCGAAAATGATATTCCCAGAACAAATGACTATAACTTCACTTCTAAAGGGGTGAATTAATCATCTTTTTTCTCAAAGCAATGATAAACCTGTGAGTGGATGTAGAAAAGTCAGAATCAATATAGATTTTTCAGATTGAACATAGTAAAAAATTAATTATAGTGTCCGTCCAAAAAAACACATTACTTATAGTGAAACCACCCTTGAATGATGGGATCGGAAACTAAAAGCTTTAGGAATCCAAACTATAACATATAATAAGTACCCTGTATCAAGATTGATGCAAAACAAGTGACATTTTGCCTTTTAGAGAGATTTAGAAAAACAAACACTTGGTGCATTTTCCCCGTCTGGCCCCCGCCGGTCGATTTTGATGATTGACACCTCTTTTTAACCGTTAGAGCCAATAGAATCGAGGGGGAGTTCCTAAAATCCATCTAAACATTACCCATTGGTGAATGAGTGATGCGCAGCCAGAATGCCCCAGAACCGGAAGCTGTCATACACTCTAGTGTAGCAGCTCTATATGAAATCTCCATTATTGACATAAAATGGAATGATGGATTATCAGTAATCATTTCAAAGTGACACAGACACATTGGATTATTAACCTATGGATTAACCTTCAGCAGCGTTTTTATCGTTTTAATGCCATTGAACACAACTTTTGATCAGAACACAGCAACGGTAAGACTTATTTTCCGATTTGGTCCCGTAAAGCTAATTTTGTTGTTGTTTGTTGTCATTTCGCCGTGAGTTCTGATCGCTCAGTGATGATAATAATACCTGTAGAATCTGTGGAATCTCAGCTTGCTAATCGATATCTTGTTTGTGCAGATACAATAAGTAATAAGGGTATTTTAACGCGAGTTCTGTGCTAAGTGTGTTAGCATTTTTTCGCTCAGGGCTAATTCAGAGCCTTTGATATTACCCTTATGTTTCGTTTTGCCAAAAATGGTTAATATTGTCTAATAGCTGAGTTTCTTCCCGTTAAGTGAGTATGACACATTCATAGTTTATTCAATGTTAAGAAGCCCTCAGACGCTGTTTCTTGCAAGATATTGCGTTTTGCCCCCGCCCGCGGGGCCGTGGGGTTTAACTGGGGACATATTCTCATTTCAGGTTCATATTTGTATTTAGTGTCTCTACTGTGACATATTTACATGCTTCAATGCTCAAAAAGCTCTTTATTTATCTCATACTGCCTGTGCTGCAGCACCTCTTTTCACCCTCTGTCAGGAACCAGAGCCCAGTCTGCTCTGATTGGTTAGATGGTCTGCTCTGTTGGGATTGGACAATCGCTTAAGAGATGTCCCGCCCCTTAGCCTATCACGCACAAATGTGTGTGACATCCACTGGC